CAAATACACACTGTCCATTTAGAAAATATTTTTTTTTAAACCTAACAACCAACACATCAAGCTTGCGGCTAATGACTCGACATTCAAGTAACGTCAAGGGCTGAGTATGTCTATGACCGGGTTCAAACGCAAGAAGATCTCAGACATTCACGCTTTTGACAGAGCCAAGGCAAGTTGCAAAAACCAAAGGGTAACAAAAATAAAAAATAGAGGTCTATAATTATTCAGCAGCGGGCAGTCAATTATAACAATCACCATAAATATTTCAGTATCACCTTGACTTTATAAAACATTTGGGGAGCTTTTTTTTCGTAATTCACTTTATTTAACATTAAAACCGGCGACGAACAACGTACAATAATCACGAATTAATATTTAAAATCAAAAGTTATCAGATGATGTTTCTATTTTTTAGCATAAAAATATTAGGAATTCTTGAAATCCATGTAATCAACACGGTGAAAATTACATTAGTTCTGAATAAACATACATACTGAATAGATTAACAAACGAACGAACGAATGTATGAATGAACAAATGAATAAGAAAATGAATGAATGAATGAATGAATGAATGAATGAATGAATGAATGAATGAATGAATGAATGAATAAACAGTTGAATGAGTATACATAAAATGCATGTATGCCTGAATGGATGATCAAAAAAATGAATGAATGAATGAGTGAATGAATAAAAAAATTAATTAATAATTAATCAACTGGATGTCAGATCGACCAAAAACACAACATGGACAATGCTATGAAGAGGAGATCATACTCGAAACAGTTCTGTCAAATTTTCTGTAAAATGGAATTTTAAAATGTTAATTAAACTAAACAATTAATTAAATTAATCAATTAATTAACTAATCAATTAATTAATTAAAAATTTACCAGATCAAATTACTTCAAAGAGCATTCACAAACTTGAAAACAGTTTTCCCATAATTTAAGGGTTCTTTACATGAAAACACATAATGTGAATGAATGAATGAATGAAAGTATGAATGAATAAAAAAAGAACAAATGAATGAAAAAGATAATAAATGAATAAAACAACGACAACAGCAATAAGAATGACGTCATCGTCACCAACTTGGAAGTAATGCTTTCTCCAGGGGTATAGAATGGATTACTCATCAGTTCAACGTACGCATTGTGCAACTGTCGAAACATCTTGCAAAATTATTAATAAAAATTATTAATAAAATTATTAATAATTAAATCTCTATTTAATTATAGATATAAACATAATTATGAATTTAAATTATAGATATAATTAATATCAATTATCTCCTAATTCACAAAGATTTCAAACACAGCGCACATGGCACGTGTGGATGAACATGTGTAAATCTACACGTCCTAGACACACATCGCGCGTGTGTGTGTGATAGGTGGGTATCTCTTGGCATTCAAACCCGGTCACTGCCCCAGCAAAGGCCAGGCACCTTAACCACTACACTACCTTTCCACTCACAAATTAATGTTACTTATTGCTGAAACATCTGTTATGTAAAATATAAATTCAACCATTTTAATTTCGTTGTCTCGTAAGTTGTTGTTGCCCGAATCAACCAGAATGAGGAATTTGGTCTTCGTGTTAGTCACATAACCATAACTTTGAGAAAAAAAAAACAAAAAATAATATAATTTATAATAAATAAAAGTAAATAATATATATTATACATTACACACCCAAACACACACACCCACGCGCACACACACACACGCGCACACAAACACACACAAACACACGCACACAAATCCAGGATATAAATGCAATTCCTAACACTCTGTAATCCTCAGTGGGATAGAGCAATCCCAAGTACGGCTCCCTCATTTCGTTTGTGTTCTTGTGAACGTTCACCGTCATTCTTTCTTCTATGACGTCTAGGGATGTGTGAACGGTGTAGAAAAAGTTTAGGTCGTCATCTTCGTGTATCGTTTTAAAGTAGAGTGGATAATTCTGAAATTTTTTTATTTAAAAGGTTATTTTATTTACGCGTTATATAATAATAATAATTAAATAATTATTAATACTAGTATCAATTAATTAAATAAAATAATAAATATTATTAATTGATAATAAGAAAAAATTAAATTTTTAAAATGTTTAAATTCTTTAAGAAGTCTGAAAAAACCAAGGCAAAATCAGAGATCCATCCTGGGTTTTTCCATGCAGTAGTTATTTATAATTTATTTATAAAAAGAGGAATGTTGAGATTTTTATTTAGAAATTTTATTTATACTTATTAACTTATTAGCCCTAATTCTAACTAAAAAAAATTTTTGTTCACTTTTTTGTTATTTTATTGATAAATCAATTTTATCATTTTTACTAGGTTAGTAGAATGAAATCTAGTTCTAATCATTTATTTTATAATCTAATCTAATCAATATAAATAAC